GGACTTTTGCATCTATATTCATGAGGGATATTGGTCTGTAATTTTCTTTTCTTTGTTGTGTCCTTTCCTTACTTTGATATCAAGGCAATATTGGCTTTGTAGAATGAGTTAGGAAGGATACCATCCTTTTCAATGTTGTGGAATATTTTCTGTAGTATAGGTATGAGTTCATCTTTGTATGTTTGGTATAACTCCGAAGTGTACCCATCTGGTCCGGGACTTTTCCGTTTGGGGAGGCTGTTAATTACTGCTCCAATTTCTGTGCTTGAAATTGGTCTATTCAGGAATTCTGTTACCTCCTGGGTGAACTTAGGGAGATTGTATGAATCCAAGAATTTGTCCATTTCTTCCTCATTATGTAGTTTTTGGGCATATAGATTTCTATAGTAGTCAAGTACAGTAGTAGTCAAGTTTTGTATTTCTGTGGTGTCTGTTGTGACCTCTCCTTTTTCATTTCTTATTGAGTTTATTAGAATCCTTTCCCTTTGAGTTCTTGTCAGTCTAGCCAGAGGGCTATCAATTTTGTATATCTTTTTGAAAAAACAGCTTCTGGTTTTGTTGATCTTCCATAGAATTCTTTTGTTCTCCATTTCATTTAGTTATGCTTTGATCTTAGTTATTTCTTTTCTTCTGCTAGGATTGGAATTGGTTTCCTATTCTTTTTCTAATTCCTTGAGTCTATTCATTAGGTTGTTGGTGTCTAATCTTTCTTTTTTTTTGGATGTGAGGATTTATTGCTATTATTTTTCCTCTCAGATATGCTTTTGCTGTATCCCACAGGTTTTGGTAACATGTGGCTCTGTTATTTTGTTCGAATAAACTTTTGATTTCCCTCTGGATTTCCTCCTTGACCCAATAATTCTTCAGTAATAAATTGTTTAGTTTCTATGACTTTGTGAGGTGTTGAGTGTTTCTATAGGAATTGAACTCTAATTTTACATCACTATGATCAGAGAAGACACATGGTGTTATTTCTATTTTCTTGAATTTTTTGTGATCTGCTTTGCAGCCTAGTATGTGATCAATTTTGGAGAATTCAAGGCTAGATCTTGAACTGCATGACAGCTCAAGGAGTAAGACAAAGCAACAGGACTTCACCCAACAATATGAATGGAAATCTTTCTCCAATTTCAATCTTCTTAATAAATGTAAATGGTTTAAACTGTCCCCTGAAGAGGCATAGACTGGCAGAATGGATAAAAATCCATAAGCCTAGTATCTGCTGTCCACAGGAAACACAGCTAACCCACAAAGATGCCTCCTGGCTGAAGGTCAAAGGATGGAAAATTATCATCCAGGCAAATGGAAGTCAAAAGAAAGCAGGGGCAGCTATACTATTCGAAGACAACATAAGCTTTAAAATAGCAAAAGTAAAAACAGATAAAGATGGCCACTATATAATGGTGAAAGGGAAGATCCAACAAGAAGATTTAACAATTCTTAATATTTATGCACCCAATGCAGGAACACCCAATTACATATAGCAAACCTTGTCTGATCTAAATACCATATTACATAACACTGTCATAGTAGCACGGGACTTCAACACTCCACTGAATGAACTGGATAGATTCTCCAAACAGAAATTAAGTGAAGAAATAAGGAGCTTAAACAAAGCTATTGACCAAAAAGTTCTGACAGATCTCTACAGAACATTCCACCCAAATAAAGTTGAAATTGTCTCCATTGTTTTTTGAACACTTCTTTGTTTTCTGGCACAGCCTTAAATTCCAGGCTCATCTTGTAATTTAACATATATAGCCCTAAAAATAGCCATTTCTCTAATGATCATCAGTCTCTTCTAGTGGAGAGTGGTAATAAGAAAACAAAATCTTGCTATAAGTATTGCTTATTCCTATAGAAGTGTCACAGCTCCAAGGGTCCCTTGGTGAACAGAGCTAGGATATGTATGTATGTATGTATGTATGTTTACATGCATCTGTGTATAAATACACATTTACATCTATGTATTTGTCTATCTCTATCATCCATCTGCCTATGTAATACCACGAGTTCATACCTAAACTCCAGTTGCAAATTCAATCATGCAGAGTTCATTTTTTATTTTCCCCCTTTCCATATGTGTAACTCTTTTCTATGATTAAAAAAAATGTGGTTTTCATTACACACACACTTGCATACATAAATTCAATCCCTTTATGTGAAACTGCCCCCCCCCTTTGCTATCATTCCTCCATTCTCCCCACACAAACAAGTAGACATGCTCCTCAACACACTTGGGCCTGAACACTTCCTAAAGAACAGTTCCTATCTATAGACACCTGCTTCATCCCACTCAAGTTAACATTCTTCTGGGAGCTTTCCCCTACATGGATGTACTATCTACAGAGTTTGGATCTAATATCTTGCACTAGGTCAGTATCACATCCCACCCCTCACCACATGGAAATCTTTATTTTGCTTAGGCCACGATACTCTATTCTGGGCTAGCATGGCTCCCACGACCCTTCATAGGGAAGCTTAACTTAGTAGTTTTTGTATTTAATTATCCAGAGGGAAAAGAGAGAGAGAAGAAGAAGAGGAAAAGAACAGATACTACATCTTCAAATTGCAAGTTACTTGATATGCTATAATATACAATGGTATACAATATCTAGATTAACAGTTTATTTGAGTTGCTGTAGTTTTGTCTCTCAAATAACCATATCTTAGAGGGTTAAGTGAGTTGTGCTTTAGAATTCTCATTTTTTGAGTCTGCAATAAGAGTGGATCCAATTATAGAGACTACAGTTGCCGACTAAGTTTTGACCTGTGTCGTGAAATCCTCTGCAAAACAGGAACATATGAATAATAGCTATAATCATAAAGCAATTTTTAATGTTTCAGAGAAATTAAAATGTAAGTATTAATGTGGCACTCTGCATATTTCAAAGAAGAGCTATAAGATTAGAGTTACAACAACAAAATATTACATCCATTCTAAAATAATAAAATGTTGCTCTTAGATAATTTTAATAAAAGAGTGGAAGTAACTCCTACATCTATTAGAAAACCAATATTGAAGAATAAACAAGATTAATGTTCTAAACTTATGAAACTTTAAGCAAAAGGCTGACTGAGGATTGACAAGTGAAAGATGTTTATCAGTTCACAACTGAGCATTTAGCAGGATCTAAATTCATTTCAAACTTGAAAATATTTTGTGTTCTTGTGTGATTTCAGATATTTATATATTATTTTATATCAGTAATTGTGTCAGTCCTTTAGGAAGGGGATGCTGAGAAGGAGTTAGTGGGTATAAGCAATTCATAGGGGAATAACACCAGTGAAAGATTAAGAAAGGAAGGAAGCAGAATTGAACAGGATAAACCTTCCACCTACTCTAACACCTGTGAAAACAGAAAGAAGTGAAGCAGGATTGAGCAGGCCTTCAGACCAAGATGCAGATCTGAAAGTATCAGATAACCCAGTGAGTGCTGTGGGTCAAAGGGGGCCCATCAGAAGGATCTTTTATTGCCATAGTTTGCACACCATCTCAGTACTTGGCTGTTGCCTGCCAAGGAAAAGTTGTTTTCAGCACATCAATTGAAGCTCATCCTGAAGGCACTGAAGCTGGGGCCAGTCAGCTAACTGCACTATTCTCAGCTAATCAGAAAGTTCTTTCTTGAAGGGAAATACAAGTGTTGCATCTCTATGGTTACCATTAGAGAATAATTTTATTTGAACAAAGATTTTTTAAAAAATCACTTTATCAATGCAACAGTTTATTCCTCTAATCCACTCAGTGTCTATCTAATGTCAAGCGTTCAAGACACTATGATGAATACAAAGTAGTTATTTCTCTCAAGGAGCTTAAAATAAGATAGTAGAAAAGAAAAAAGTAAAATGGCAATGAAAATAGAATATGACAGATGTTATAATAAGGAAATTCTGCAAGAACAAGAGTTAAGACCCTAACCAAGCCCGGAGGCACTCCTAAGGCATTCTACAGTTAGGTCCAGATAAACTGACATATAAAACAAGCAGAAAATATTATGTCCAAGAAGAAATGGGCTGAAACAGTAGGTGCAAAAGCCAATAGTTTAAAGTAAATATTGTCTTTGAAGGAGCTTTAATATATTTAGAACGTTTTAGATCAGAAAGTTGTATTATAAAATAATGATGGTAAAATGAATTATCTAATCTAAATTAAACTTAAAATTAATTACCTAATCTAATTTAAAAGAAAATATATATAATTGGAGGGTAATCAATCAACCATTTATAATAATACCAAACAAACTTATAGTAAAGTTCAAATACATAGAGCCCCTACAATATATCACTTAGGATAAAAATAGATAAAATATCTCCTCTTTTTTGGATAAATTATATGATATGTTGTATAATTCAAAAATGAATTATGCATTTTAGCAGTTATAAGTGCTGTGGAAATAGGATGGAATCAGATACAGTAGATGAGAGGTTTGGGAAAATTGAAATCTCTAATAGGATGGGTAGAGTAGACATCATCAAGAAGGTGACATTTAAAGCAAGTTAATTAACCATACAAGTATCTGGGGAAGCACAGTGTGAACAGAAGGAACAATCATTGTGAAGTCTTTAAGTAGGTGTGAAGCCAAAGTGTCCAATCCTCTTTCCCCTTTTTATTCTTCCACTTTTCATTCCTCAAAGAATTGGAGACAGACATAAATTTATAATTCTTTTACTTGGAATATGGGCAGTCCCTGGGTTACAGACCACCCAATTTACTACATTTCCAACTTACAAATTGGCTCCAGAGGCTCCCCATAAGAAGAATTTATAATTAAATAATGAATTTATAATTTATAATTAAATAATTTATAATTATTTATAATTTTTAATTTATAATTAAATAATTAAATAAAGAATTTATAATTAAATAATTTAAATAATAAATTAATAATTCAAGAAATAGTTTCTTTTGCACATGTAAACAAACCTGTGTAGTGTACGGAATTCGTTAGCGCCCCATCTTTACTCTAGCAGCAAGTCTCATTGTTTAAACAGTCACTTACGTGCAGCATCACTTTTGTTTTAATGCTTTCATTCAATTTTGTGAGTCTATGTTTACCCTTGTGACCATGCCTCCAAAGCGAAAGTCCACTGCAAGTCCAGGTGAACCTGCAGCAAAAAGAAAGCTAATTATTAATACATGGAAATGAAAGAAAAAGTATTGAGAGAAAGGCCAGATGCCATCATTCACTGGGAAAGCATTAGCCTTGAGTTGTTCAACTATCAGTACAATTATAAAGGATAAAGTGAAAATAATGGAACATGTGAAAAGCAGTGCTCCAGTGAAAGCATCAATTGTTACTAAGCAGCATAGTAGATTAATTATTAAATGGAATAATAATTAATTATTAAATGGAAATAGTATTATTGATTTGGTTGAAAGATCAAAATAAGCATAACATTTCGGTTAACCTAGAAATCAAAAGAAAGAGCACAATACTTTCTATAATTTATTATTACAATACACAGGTATTATTTTTATTACAGTAGTACACTGTATTACTATTACCACATATGAGCCATTAAATATTGCTATTATTATTACCGTATATGTATTGTTCATCAGGGGTCTGAGTTACATACAATCCCAACCTAAAGACATTGTCAGGAATATATCCTGTCCATTCCCCAGGGATTGCGTGTATATGTAAAGAGAAATATATAGGTTTATATCTATGACTTATAGAATTTTGGTTCCATATATTTTCAGAGTATCTCTGAACTCTGAATCCTGATTTATAAATGGTGAATTATACTTTGTGTTCTTTTTTTCATCTCTATGAAGTATAATTGACAAAATTGTATATATTTGGGGTACACAACATGATCATTTGATACATGTATACATTTTGTTCTTTTAATGTCTCTAGAAAACTAGTGCATATGAAACTACAATAGAACTAAAATTTGCCATTCGTTTAACAATGCTTTAAATGAAAATTGTAAGTATTTCTCTTAGAACGAATTCCCTATTATGTTCTGATAGTTAAAGGATTAAATTTTGAAATTGGTGTTAGAGACTTAGCATTGCAGATTTTCTTCATGTTCACAACACAAAGCAGTGACCACTATCCTAAGTGAAGTATCTCAGGAATGGAAAAATACACATCACATGTACCTGCTAATAATCTGGAGCTAACTGATGGGCACACATAGACACAGAAAGAAGTAAAATACACTGGAAATCCGAAGGGGTAAAAACATACCTAGCAGGTACAATGAACACTATTTGGGTGATAGGCACACTGATAGTCCTAATTTAAGCATTATGAAAGCTATCCATATAACAAAAACATTTGTAGCCCCTTAATGTTTTGAAATTTAAAAAAATTTTAAAAAGCAATGGATCATGTAATCAGACTTAGGAATTTAGCTTTAAGCAAGCTGAAGCCAAATTCTTTCTATAATGCAGACAAAAGGTTCCCAAAGTATTGTTTGAACACCTTTATTTTTTTACAAATTATATTATTTAAATTTTATCATATCTTAGAGCAGATGTACTTGTCACTACTACTTTCAACTATCATGGTGGCAAATAAAATCTATTTTGTTTTAAATTATAAAATTAAAACACAATTCCTGGTAAAATGTTTAACTAAAGTTTTTGATTCCTGCTATTTTCCAGTCACCAAGATGTTTGTACTATATGTTATAATTTTGGGCTTATGAATTGGACAGTAGTCTCAACTGCACACCGTCTAAAATAAATATCTCGAAATTAATGAAAAATGGGTGGCATATTTATCTAGTTTCCAGTGGTACAAGTTTCTTATTTTTTTTATTTCACCATGTCTATGGTTAATCCCCTTGATCTGTAAGTGTTGAGATATACAGCTCTGCTTGACACATCATCTTATCCTGAAGTCATACCTCCAAACATTTTTTAATACAAGTATTCATTGAAAACAAGTTTTGTACAGTCATGTGTTCTGGGAATTTTAATTATTATGTTTAACTCAAACATCAATCAAAATACATAATTGCAAACTTTAGAGATCTACTCTAGCTGAGATTAGAATAATAATAATAAATTTTAAGATTTTTGATGGCTTACAATCTATCCAGCAATACAAAAATTAGATATGAGTGTTGGTAGCCAGGAGCAAATCTAGCTCACATTAGCCCTTTTGCAGCATGGATAGCACTGCTTCTTGTCATTGATACAACTGGAAATACATATGAAAAGCCCGTGACCCCATCCCTAGTACCTCTTTCATTGCTACCTCGAGAGTCTTCTAGACTCTAGACAAAAATGAAGACGTTTGCTCTTCGTATAACTTTTACCAGGATATAGAGTCTACAAAGCCTCTCTTCCCAGGTTGCTCTCTATCTACTCTAAGAATTTTGGGTGATCATCTGATTGGGATAACCAAGGTTACATGTTGGCTTCTCCTTTTTAGAGGTAAGGTTCACAATATGATGAATTCCCTTCACACATGAAGGCTGTGTAAAAGATGCTGAGCAGCTACAATATGTAAGAAATATCCATTATACCATTAAATGAGCATTGATGTCCCAATATTATAAACAAAAAACTCAGGCCCATTTGATTGTCCTAGTTCTACTTGTCACAAACTCATCCTTCCCATATATGATAGTTCCATATATGATAATATTTCATATTATACCATTTACAAACCTTTAAACTCTATTGAATTACTTGGAAAACAAGTACACATGAAGCCCTTTTGATAGTTCACAGGAGGTTATATTGATGTCATACTGTATTAAAGGTAGTTATTAAAAATTGTCAAATAAAGTTATTAGATAAAAATAAAACCATTTAATGTAAAACTTAGCACATCCTTAAGTGATAAAAATATGAAAATAATAATAACACAATAAAATAAATGTAATCATGCAGCACAATTTCCTAGAATTTGAACCTGAATATGAATACTCAATTTAAGTCCCTTTTCCTCTATAGTGACAACCTTCATTAGTACTGTTCATTTTAATTTTCACTATTCTATATACCTGAAGAGTTTATTCATAGATTTAAAACAAATAAAATTTTAGAGTTGGAAGGCTTTTTGGAGAATGTATAGCTCCATACTTGCATTGAACAAATAATAGAGTTTAGATGCACAAATATAGATTTGCTTTTAAAATTATAATTTTTCACAGATCTCATACCGCAGTCCTGTTTAACATCTTATAAGGATACTCTCTTTTCACTGCCATTGGTCTTTCCGTTGCTTCAGTACCTGGGAAGTCCAAGTCTTTCCAGATGATTTTCTGGGTCACAACCTGGCACTAGCATGTGCTATATTTTATTGTTAAACAATATTTATGTACACATGGGTTGTCTCCTATAATAAACTATAGACTCCTCAAAGGTAGGAAATGTATATTTATTACATATTTGTAATTTTAAATGTAGTGGCTTCTTTTCTGTGACTAATTTTTTGTCACAAAATATTGAGATGATAAATATTTGTCTATTGATTAATATAGTCTCATGATTTCATGCAAAATATTTAGTATTATTTTAATGTAATATATTCTAATTCTCATACCAGGCACTGTTCTAAGAACTCTACATGCTCCTTTATTCCTTTAATCCTTATTCTACATACTTTTTTTTATTCTCTATTTTTTTGGTATCTAATCTACGTTCCTTTTTATTTTTATACATTTCAGTATTACTCACTATAGTTAAGATATGGAAGTTAAGATGTGGAAATAACTGACATGTCCATCATCATATCAGTAGATAAAGAAAATATGCTAAATATAGATACACATGGTGGAATGTCATACAACTGTAAAAAGAAGGAAATTCTATCATTTGCAACATGGATGTAACTGGAGGACATTATGCTAAAATGAAATAAGCCAGGCACACAAAGAGAAATACCATACGATCTCATTTATATGTGAAACCTAAAAAAGTTGGTCACCATATACTTCTTTACTACTTTCGAAAGTCCTGTGTACTACCATTATTCCATTTTAAAGACAAGGAAATTAGACTCAGAGCAGAGCAGTTAACTAACTTGCCAAGGACCACACATTACATGGTGGAGTCAGGATTGAGAATCAGGGAGTCTGGCTCCAGAGTCGATATTCTTCTAATGACTTTTGCTTCCAAACTCCAGGCGAGATGAAGTACATGATTTTTTTCCCCTCAGCAGAGTTTACCAGTTGATAAAATGTCTTCATTGTCAATACATGTAGAGTTTATCTAAACTATTATTTTAAAAATTCACAAAAATTAGAAGAATCATCCTTTTACTTTAAATTATAGGCCTTTTTAGCCAAGAGTAATGTGTGCTCCAAACTGCTCCTTCAGATTGCCAAACTCTCCTGTGTAATTAAGGACCGATGTAAGCAATTTACACTGCCAAGTCTCCTGTGCTTCTTCTCCCTGTGTAACTGACAACAAGCTATTACTATAAAAAATAACTAAAACCCACAGTTGGAAAAAGCATAGAGTAACAGGTGCTTCCCTTTATACATATTATGAATATAAATGAGAGCATTTTTAGTGCAAATGTTGTTATCTATCTATATTAAAATAAAGATGATACTTTTAATCCCACAATTTTAATTTTAGAATGTATCCTTCACTTGTACTAATACTTAGTACATATGAAATGGTGAACATTGCCTTATTATTTGTAAAAGCGATAAAGTATCAATAGCCTAAATGTCTGTTGTCAAGGGACCTTTTAAATACGTGTGACAGCAATGGATGGTACACTTCATAGTTCTGTCATTCTGGCAGGCTCATAGAAAAACTTCTGTCAGCAGACATAAGAAACCCATAATATGAACCCAATCATAAAAAAAAAAAAATACAAAATAACAGGGCTTACCCTACAGAACACAGGAGCAATAGCTATTTCTAAGTCCAAGGCAATATAACTTTGTAGTGCTATCCACTATCTATTTCAATAAAATAGTTTCTGTGACAGATTTAAGTGTATATACAGTATGATAGAGAAATGGAGAAGAATGATTAGCAGGAAATGTGAGGAGGTTGAGTGAATATGCACATATATATATATTTAATCCAGTAGAATTAAAATTTCTGGTTTAATAATGTTAATGATAATTTCTTAGAATATCATTATATAAAATGAGCCTACATATTATAACTTTTA